TTATATGGGAAATCCAAGGTGAGTGAGGCTGGTTGTTACCTTGTTCTTTAAAAGCAGGAAAATAAACAGGCAGAGTACACAGCAGGCTTACAGTCTAAAGTGACCTCAAGAGGTATCATTAACTCTGCCCGTGAGGTCTAGCAAAAGTTCCAGTCTCTTGAAATGTAAGAGCTCATCACAAATTGCTACAAAAAAGGCAAGAAACCTTTCTGGTTTTGGTACCCACCTGGGCTCTGGCTGCGAGGGGAAGATGGCCCTTATGTAAACAGTCCACCCTTCTGAGGTCACTTGTGCTGGGCCTGAGCAGAATCACTTCTCAGACGTCCGGTCTTGGAAGTTGGAAATGTTATCAGTGTAGCTGGTGCCTGAGTGGGAGAGATGGAGTCAGAGTGTGGACAGACACTTTCTCCATGGTCACTGGGAATGTTCTGAAGGAAAAGGAGAGCGGCGTGGACTCACTGCCCTTCTCATGGCTGTGACTAATGCAGCTTAGGAAGGAAGGTTTATTTTGGCCCACAGGCTAATAGTGCAGTTCATTATGGGAGCTTAGCTTACCAGCAATTGTTTCTCTGAGTGTTACACATGGGCTTCCAGGTGTCATCTTTTGTCTAGCCCAGCCATTACCTTTGTCTTACTCTATAGATAAGGGACACCAAATTCCCAAGTGCCCGGAAGGCTGGAGGGTCTGACTTGCATCTGTGGAGAAGCTCTATTCTGGACTCCAGGCCAGGAGGAAGGGTTGAGAGCCATTAACACTTCAGATCTCGGGTCACACCACCATTGTCCTCAAGCGAGCAGAGTATGTTGATTTGAACACATTAATGATAACTCAGAGTCCCCGATAATGCACCGGTGTCACATTAAGAAAAAGACATTGTAAAGCACTTTCCTCGGTGCCGTTTGGCGAAGTGAACCCAGATTTGAATTCTCTATTTCTTTCTCCCTGGGTCTTCTGTCCTCCCGGTCTGTCTGTGGTAAGAGTCTGAGTCTGTGCCTGCCTCCACGCTGTCCCTATGTCTGTATCTGTGTGTATCCCTGACAAAGGGCTCTGCTCTCTCTTTTATTCAACAACACATAGGGCAACATAGAGGAAATCATGATGGATAGCTCGCAGAAATCTTTAACAGAGTTTACAAGGGATTAAGTCGTTGACTCCAGCTGACCCAGATAACAAATAAATGCTGTCAAGCAATGTGTGAATTCTGCTTCCAACATTGATGGTGGCTCTTTGTTTTATAAATCCGCTGTCAGCCTGTTTGCTGTTTCCAGCATTTGGTACCATAACACACACACACAAATACACACACACACA